CAACTGCTGAGTCCTGAAGACGATGAGGAGTATATTGCTTTATAATATTACATTTGAAAGTAAAAGCATGGTTTTAAGAGAGAGATTGCACTGGGCTCATTAACCTACTTGTTTGTGAATGGAAGATTTCAAAATTAATATCCCTGAGAATCATTTTTAATAGTGGGGGAAGTAAGAAAAATGGAAGTGTTTCACATATGTGTGGCCAAAAATAGCTTCTACGTTTGATTTTTGGTCCTTACCTGGCAGTGTTTAGGACTTACTCCTAGCTCTGCTCTTAGGGGGCCTGGTGAAGTGTTGGGGACATAATGAGGTACTAGGGATCAAACTTGGGTAAGCAGTAAGCAAGGCAAATGCCCTCCCTACCTTTTGTACTATCTGTCTAGTCTCTCAAATAGCTTTAGAATATTTCTTCCAAATGGTATAAATCTAAACAACTGGACTTTGGGAAGAGGAAACAAAAATGGTATAATTTAGCTATTGATGGATACAGTCTGGTGACTATTATGTCACTTAAATTCTCCAGGTCTTAGTTTTCTTTATTTTATTTATCTACTCATATTTATTTAGTTTTTTGTTTTTGCCACATATGCAGTGCTCAGGGGCTATTTCTGGCTCTGCGCTCAGGAGCAACCCCTGGCTGTGCTTGGGGGATCATGTGGTGTTAGGGATTTTAACTGTGGTAGGTGGGATGCAAGGCAATTCTCTTATCCCTGATACTAGGACTCTGACCCCTTCTTTATTTTAAAAGAGAATTAGAAATACTGAAAATCATAATAGTAATTATAATGATCACAGTAAATATGGAACAAGATAGTGTTAGTACATGGAAATTCCTTTTGCCAAAGAAAGATGGGTTCTTAAACCACAAAAATTTTGTTAAATGATCTAGTAAGAACATTCACATTAATGTTTCCACTCTGAAGGGTGAAACAGGATTGTATCTCCACAGAGAGTATCCAACAAGTAAGTCAGTGTATCTATACTTCTATATTCTAAATTCACTATGCAGTCTATTTCTGTGTGCAGATAAATGGTGTATGGAGCTTACTCTGCTATTTTTGGGAGGATCACATTTGGCTGTATTCAGGGCTTAATCCTGACTCTATGCTTAGGGCTCACTCTTGGGGGTGCTCCGGGAACCAAATGGGGTCCCAGAGATTGAATTTAAGTTAGAGGTGTGTGCAAGACAAATATCGTACCCACTATACTATGTTACCAGTCCTCCTTACTCTGCTATCTCATGTTCATATTTACATTGTTTCTTTTTCTCTCATTTTGATGGTTATATATATTGCTTAAAAACCAGCATGTCTTTTTTTCAAAAATCAAAATGAATACATAATGAAACTAAACTTAGAACACTCTGATAAAAGTATGCATAGTTTCTTCTCTTATATTCTTTTTCAACAATTTAAGACTATTTTGATTATTTCTTTTGCAGCACACACCTGACAGTGCTCAGGGTTTACTCCTGGCTCTGTGCTTATGTATGCTTGGTGGTGCTTACATGGAGGACCACATGTGGTGACAGGTATCAAACCATGGTAAGCTGCAAACAAAGCAAGTATCTTATCCCTGTACTATCTTTCTGACACGCAAGACTTTCTAGATTTTTATCTGCATTTCCACCACTTCAATTCTCTTCATTTTCTGATTTTGTAGCAAAAAATGGAGAAATAGAGATGAACTAATGTCTTTTTTAAATCGTGGTTTTAGTAACTAAAGTAACACTGTTCCTTATATTTATAGAAGTATAATGTCACCATGATAGAGAGCTTAAAGTTCCCTATACAGAAGCTGTGTAAAACGTAAAATATTCCTGACAGGACATGTAAGTTTCCATTGTACTAATGGGATAAGCTTGCTAGACATGAATCTCATTCCTTATTTTGTTCACTTTCCAAACAAGGATATACATTTATAATATAGCAGAGTGGTTAGACTCTTGGCAAAAGAAAAGAAATAAATCAACCTAAATTATGTGCAAATCAACCTGAGATGGATCAGCTTCCTGCAAAACACACTTTTAAATCATATCCCTAGGGTCAGGTTCCAAAATAGCAGCATGCAAAATTTGCTACTGAACAAGCAGATACCACAAACTGACCAAACAGTTTAATACAACAAGGTGATGTATATGTGGATTTTGGGCTGAAGAGCTTAAATATAGAGTTATGAAAAAGACACAGTTCTAAACAACTCCATTGATTCTAAACTAAGTTTTGCCATAAGACCACATTCCCCAAATATCTACATACGGAAAGAATCACATCATTGAACTGGATGTGACCTTAGACAAAATAGATGGTCTTGTTTTACAAAAGAAGACAGTGAAATTGAGAGAGGTTAAATGGCTTTCCTGAGATAACAGGGTCACATCACAGTTGAGCTTCAATTTGAGGTTAGGCCTTCTAATAACAACTCTGATGCTCTTTTTCACGATCTCACACTATCATCTCCTCATGCGTAATTCCCTATACTTATCACTAGGTCCTATTCATTTTAATGAACAGATAAAGGAGGTCAGAGAGGCTGCACGGGGGTTAAGGCACACTCCATGTGACCCATTCCAATTTGATCCATGGCACCAGGTGCAGCTCTGCAAGCCTGAGTATCACTGGTATGGCTCAGGTAACCCCTGCCCTGCTGGGCCCTGAGAGTAATACTCTCAGCCCCTCACACTGAACTTTCCCCAGACTCCTGAGACCACTTGGGAGCATCCCCCCAGAGAACAGATAAATGAAGCTATCAAGTTATTTGCATTTCTTCCCATTTCTATCTAAATAAAATGAGGCAAATAAAATGACTCACTTATTGAATTTTCAAACTTTTCTTAACTCTTTGACCTTATTGTACATTTATAGGCTACGGTCATAAATCTTATACCACATTCAGAAAATAAGTATGGCATATGTCTCTATAAACTAATTGTTGGGTGTGGCACAAGTAACAGTACTTGGAGGCTACTCTCAGCTCTGTCCTTGTTGGACTCTCCCAGTGGGGTTCAGGAGAACTTGGTGACAGATCAAACCTGGGATTGCAACATACAAAGAGTGTGCTCAGGTCATTGTGAGCTCTCTCTCTCTGGCCCCTATAAAAGAAATTTTATTTTTATTTGCACTTCATTTTATTTTGTTTTATGGGCCATACCTGGCTGGGCTAAATAAGGGCTTACTACTGGCTTTGCACACTGAAATAACTCCTGGCAGTTTCAGGGAATCCAACCCAGATCAACTGCTTGTAAGAAAAGTACTCTACACGCTGTACTATCTCTCTATAAAATAAAATATAATATTACTATATGGGTACTTGAACAGAACAAAGGTGGCTGATGCCATTCCTTGGGCATTTATTCCTTCTTTTATTTCTTTTTAATATGGAAAAAACATTAGAATAAAATTGATGAGATTTTACCCATACTTCACCACAATGGAGCAAACAGACAAAAAAAGACATGGACTCCCTTAACTGTGCCACTTCAGTCAATGCCACTTGTAACAATCTATCATATAAATATTTCAAGGCTATTCCTCACAACATAAATTAAAGTTTACAGGCTCTCAAGAGATCTTGAATTTGGAACGTGTTTTTATAAGAATCCAACAATTTTTAACAGGGCTTTCAATCACACACGTAAATCGACTGCCAATAAGAAAGTTAATCTGGGTTATTGTGTTTTCCCCTTTTTAAAACAATGAAAGCAAATATTTTAAACCTTGTTTTAGCTCTGTCCCAAGAGCATGCTCTTTGAATCCTATAAAATGCAAAGTACACAAGCAATTCTCCAATACAATGGTGAAACCAGTTTGATGATTTTGAGGTAGAACAGTGTCCTTGATATAGAGGCCCTAGACACCTCCTTCACCATTCAATACAAAAATGTCTGAGTGCTTTCTGGGAGCAAGAGCTTGTGCTAATAACCTTCTATAAATTAGTAATTGTTATAAGAAGCATGTAAAAATGTAAAAATTATGAGAAAAGTCAAGTGGCTTCAAAGTTCCTAAGTTTGATTCCAAAACCTGCTATCCATAATAACAGTACCAGAAATAAGAGCTTGTGTTAATACAGCAATTGTGTGGCTAGTATTGATCCAAGTATTTTCTATATATTTTGACATACACATCCTAATAAGTTGATATGATAGAAGTATACAATATTTCCTTTTTCTTTAGATAAAAGAATAAGGCATCGAGAGCAAATAACTTACTCAATGCTCCAAAGCCAGTGGGCATAACCCTGAATATACTTACATTAATGAAGATTTTATACCTATATTCCATGTGTTTATTATGAAAACCTATGAAAATTTCCACATTTAGGTTTGTGATAGGATATACTTTCTTTAAAAGGTTTCACATAGTATGACTGCATCTTACCATTCATTGACTTTTATTAAGTTTGGGATTTAAAATGTTTTAAGAATTCTAGCAATCATAGTGCAAAAGAATTGCTGATAAATTTAGTAAAAGTATTTTGATGCTTCTATCCTAACTCAGTATATCTTCCATGTTTACTGTGTGATATAGAAAAAAATCAACTTAAAACTATCAATAAATTTAATGGGATCAAAATCACTTATATAGGGATATACATTATATATGGGCTGGAGCGATATATAATGGTAGGGTGTTTGCCTTGCATGCAGTCAACATGGCTGATCCGAGTTCAATTCCTCTGCCCCTCTCAAAGAGCCCGGCAAGCTACCAAGAGTATCTCACCCAAGAGTATCTTGCCCTCACGGCAAAGCCTGGCAAGCTACCCGTGACATATTTAATATGCCAAACACAGTAACAAGTCTCACAATGTCACTGGGCCTACTCGAGCAAATCGATGAACAACAGGAGGATAGTGACAGTGATACATTATATAAGATATCCTATACTAAAAATACTATGTACAGCACATGAAGAAATTCCCTTTATTGTTCTTAATATAAAAGCTTTAGCTGCATATTAGCTTGCTGGATCGAGAAACCATAATTCTCAATGTGGACATACCTGCAGAAGCTTCCATCTGGTGTTCAGATCTTCAAGAATGTTTAGATTATATGGTGATAGTTGAATGCCCAATGTGGTGAGTTGACGAGCAAGGTCATTGACGTGACTTACATTCTCTTTAAGAGGTGCAATATCTCCTCGAAGTGCCTGTGTGAAATAGCCAAGGGCAAATCAGAAGGTGGAAACATTTAAAGCAAAGAAACATGCATATGGGAACTCAACGAACTCTTATGATCTTTAGGGAGCGATGACAATGCTCTATTCTTGTGATAATATTATAACTAATAGTTCTGGGTGAATAATAAAAGGTAAAAGGTAAAGGCCCTCCCGTTGATCGTTGATTTGCTCGAGCGGGCCCAGTAACGTCTCCATTGGAGACTTTGTTGTTACTGTGTCTGGCATATCAAATACTCTCGGTAGCTTGCCGGGCTCTCCGAGAGGGGCGGAGGAATCGAACTCGGGTCGGCCATGTTGGCCGCTTGTAAGGCGAACGCCCTACCCGCTGTAGTTAATATTTACTGAGCACTTCTTGAGTGATTAATCCTATGGTAGAATCTGTCTACTCTTAATCTGATTTTACTCCTACACAATAGAGATAAACCATGGAGGTTGACAGTTCAAACTTGCCCAAAGTTTTATGGGTAAAAAAATGGAAGGGATTGGGATACATTCCCAGGGTATCTGCACCTAGCATGCTTATTTGTGGTTCCTATACTATAACTCTCTCTAAAGAAATTCTGGATTGGTAAAGTAACAGGCAAAAGAGAGGGCTACTACTATATTTTAGATTCTACTCATCCCACAGACAGAAATTTATCACCTTTCATACACATATCTATATACTCAATCATAAAATATTACATCCACACTTTGCACCAACTACACAATAAATTGATTTATTTGAAGATTAGACTATTTTGTCAAGTTCTAAAAATGACTTCTTCATCTCCTGGTATTTCAGTCCTTGTAACAATGACTTTAAAAGGCTCCCATGGGGCTTCTCAACTGTCTTAAGCAGTAGAACAAGATTCTCCACCGCAATGTATCATGGCAGACTGTTAAACAGAGGAACTCTATGCAGATATAAGGAGAATATTACCATGTATCATATCGACACTATTGAGATGACATTTATGGATCTTTAACATGATGCATGATGTACAAATGTTTCAATGAGCCATTTCGAAGGGACAAATTTCTTCACTTAGAAGAACAGTTTGTGTAATGTAATGTCTGTGCACGAGGACAGCATCACTAACTGGGTTCTACTTGCTGTTTTAACTTGCCATATCTGGCCAAGTATTATTTTTCTGGTGGATAAAACCATTGTTTACACTGATTCCATCTATTAAAAAACATCATTCCATCCTACACAAAATGGGAGGAGTCATCATGTACAAGTTAAAGAAGAAAAATACATTTTCATCTCAAATAGCCACAAAAAGTGATATTATAAGATAAGATTCTGACATTGTGCATAGCCAAGATAAGACATTGTGAAAAGTGCTCTGTTGAACTAGCAGTTATTTAAAGTGGTCATTAAAAATGTTAGGGAGCCAAGAAGTTTCTTTGGGATGTAATAAAATATTTGTATAATTAGATAGCAGTGATGATGACTCAATATTGTAAATATGCTAAGCACTACTACATACCTTAACAAGGTGAATTTGATGGGATCTAGGTAATCTCTCAAACTAAAATAAAAAGAAAGCCTTTTGGACAACCACACAAGTGAAAAAATACTTTACCCTTAAAATGTATAAACATTCACACCCGTTTCAAAGAATTTTACTTCACTAATTATAATTATATGACAAACTAATTCTTATGTAGTCCCTTATTAGTGAAATATCATAGGGGTTAAGAAGCTAAGGAAGGGGCTGGAGCAATAGCACAGTGGTAGGACGTTTGCCTTGCACGCGGCTGACCTGGATTCGATTCCCAGCATCCCATATGGTCCCCTGAGCACCACCAGGGGTAATTCCTGAGTGGAGAGCCAGGAGTAACCCTGTGCATCGCTGGGTATGAACCCAAAAGCAAAAATAAAAAGAAGCTAAGGAAGTTTTTATAGAGACTGATTATAAATATTTTCTTTACAAATAGATGGACTGAAAAAACAGTAAGGATACTTGGCAATAAGTGGTTAAAATTCCTATATGTTAATGCATCTCTAAAAGGAAATTATTTATAATTAGATAATGAATAATTAGATAATTCATCACTAGATAATGAATTTATTAAATGTCAATGGTAGAACTTAGACTAGGACAATAATAAAATAGAATCATTCTCTTCAGAATAATAACATGTACTTCTAGCAACTACAAATGTGTCATGTGAGTTGGGACTATAAATGGGAAACCAATGAAGAGATGTGAGGATATTGAGGTAGAATATGAAAAACTACAGATTAATCCTGTTAGTTATCTGACTTTACAGTGCGTTTTTCAGATATTAAGTTGACTATGTATCTCACTTAAGTCATATCGAGGAGTTTTCCTTCCTTTGAATGACATAATGCAAATAGTAAAATGTCTTTTATTCAAATATTTTTATTTTCACTTCATCTTTTAAAGTCCTGCACACAGAATTTTAAATCTACATCAGTAGAGAATGATATTAAAGATAAGCTCCACTACTCAAATTAATCATCACAACACACACTTTCTCTTATCTCCCCTGCTCCCACTCACACTCATTTAAATATAATCTGGTAATTTTATTTTATTCATATATAGCAATTACTAAAGTGATCTTAACTTAATATCCACCTAATTAAAACTTAAGGCTTCATTCCTCTGTGAAACACACTACCTAGGTCCCTCAACAGATTCTAAGTATTAGATCAGAAGCATCTATCAATAAACATGGCCCCACAGCTCTCATTATTTAAGTTGTGTGTATGTTCTTTTCTTAATGCTTTTTTGGTCACACTTGTCGATGCACAGGAGTTACTCCTGGCTCTGCACTCAGGAATCACTCCTGGCGGTGCTGGGGGACCATATGGGATGCTGGGAATCGAATCTGGGTCAGCTGCGTGCAAGGCAAATGCCCTACCCACTGTGCTATCGCTCCAGCCCCTGTGTCCATGTTCTTAAATGTGATTTTGACAGTATTGCAATCATACAGACTAAATATTTCAAACCAGAGAAGAAACTCTAAAGAGAAAACAAGTTATCATTTTCACAAAAGTCAGGTTAAATAGCCTGGCAATTCGCCCTCTCCTCTCTGGAAAGAAAGATGGCGGCCGCATGGGAGCCTTGTGGACAGCAGGTATGAGCCGGGGGTGTGGGGGCGACTAAAACCTCATGGGAAGGGGGGCGTTTCGGTCCGCCCTTCACGCCCTACCAAGGCCAATAGTTGCCTCCCATAAGCGGCTCTCCAGCACGGCCACGACTCCAGAACACAGAAACCAATTTCTTAACTATCTGACTTTCAGTAGAAATACTTCCAGGGTCAATAGGTAAAATAGCAGAAACCCAAAACCAACATTTAATTCTTGAACCTAGCTGTAGAAAGCAAATCACTTCACAATGCTTTTTCAGCATGTCTGATTTGGGGGGGGGGGGGTAAACTCTAAATAATAGTGGTGAATCTTTTATTGAAACAATGAATCTAATCAAAGCAGATAGAGTGTTAACTAGAATTCATCTGCCTCACAGGGACAGGGAGGGGTGGGGGGTGGGGTTTTATTCGGGTTCTTCATGGTAAAAAATAAGTATTGGTAAAGGGAAATGTGTTTGATATTTGCATGACTGAGACCTAAACCTGAAAGCTTTGTAACCTTTCCCACGGTGATTCAATAAATAAATAAATAAATAAATAAATAAAATAGCCTGGCAAATTACTTTAAAAAGAGTGTAAGTATTACTGAACTTGGCAAGGACAAGACAACTATCAAATACTCTGATAACAATGCCCCCAAGTTAGAAGGATTCTATCTACAGAATGCTTCTTGTGTTTCCAGATGGACTCCATCTACATGGAAGAGTCTGGAATTAGGAATCAAAGCATTTGAACTATCATCTAATTTATAGAGGATGCCAGTCAATTAATTGATAAAAAGAAACTGACATTAAAATACTGGTGACTATTTTAGGTTAAACTCAAATATTGAAGACATATTTTTTGTTATTACTGTTGTTTTTGAACCAAACCCAGTGGTGCTGAGGGCTTACTCCAGATTCTTCACTCAGGGTTTATTCCTGGAGAAGCTGGAGAACCATATGGGATATAGGGATTGAATCTGGGTCAGTCACATGCAAAGAAAACATCCTGCCTGATATACTATTTCTCCATTCCTTGTTGAAGATATTTTAGATGCACTAGTTTAACTGACTTTTCAATTTATTGTACAACTGAGGGAATCCTGTATAAATTTTTACTAGTACCATTTTGCTACCATTGCTACTACTACTACAGCTGTCACTACTCAAGGCGGGAACTTCATGTGTTTTGGTTTAATCCAAATGCCTAGATATATTTTAAGATGTTTTCTAATAGAATCTTTGATGGGGACTGAGCCATAGGTAAAGAAATTATTTTGTGTTAAGTTTGACTTGGGGAAGATATCTTGATGGATGTGGATGTGCAAGATGTCTTGTGGATGTGTGAAGAGACGGATGGATGTGAAGAGAATGATTTCAGGAAGAAACCATTGTGAGGGAACTAAACATGTCAAGATCCAGTAAAGGAGATAACCAGAGCTAGAAAAGAAGATATAAAGGAATAAGGACTGTGTCTTCAAAGTCTTCACTTGTGGTGCCAGTGCTAGACATCAAACTCAAGACCTGATACATGGAAGGCAAACACTCTACTATTCTGGTACATCTCTGGCCCACAAAGTCTTCACTTTAGTATCTGAGCTAGGTTCTGGTAGAAGCTCTATTACACACAAGAATTGCTCACTGCTATAGACTACCAATGCCCTGAAGTGTACATAATGAGACAGAGATAGTACCCCTTAAATACTGAATCACAAGACCTACTATATGAGGGGGAACACAGGTACCATGTCATAAAAATGAATATAACATTCTGTGACTCTATAATATTAGAACTATAATACTGCGCATATAAATTTAGATTGAAAGCACTCAACACTAAACATAAAATGTCAGAAAAGCACAGCTAACTCTGAACAATTT